CCCTTATCTAACAAATCTTTCAACTTCTCCTTAAGTTTCTTTAATTCTAGTGGTGCCATCCTATAAGGAGGAATAGATACTGGTTACATATTCGTCACTACATCGACGGGAAAGTCAATTTCACGCTTTGGAGGAAGACTTGGAAACTCATCTGGAAATACGTTAGGGAACTCATTCTCTACTAGAATTGATTCAAGAGTCGGTGTTCCCTTCTCTATGTCCCGAACATGAACTATATGATATAAGCATCCCTTGGCGATCATCTTCTTAACCTTAAGGTACGAAATAAATCTACCTTTTGGCGATGCAGAAACACCTTTACATTCTATAGCTGACCCTTCTGGGAAATTGAACTGGATTGTCTTTGCTCTACAGTTAACATTAGCATAGCAAGAACACACCCAATACATACCAAGTATAACATCAAAGTCAACCATTTCTATCTCAATTAAGTCAATTGTAGTACTACAGTATCTAATCACAACATTGCAACTATTAAAAACACGCCTAGCTATTGCTGAATACTAACATATTGAATTGAATAATGTACAAGGATACAATACATGCTGAAATTTCCTTTGAAAATTCTTAAAAGATCAAGAAGAAAGGATAGAACATAGCTAAACCAAATCATGCCAAAAATGATTAGCCATGAATCTCTTTCCAAAACTCGAGTTATGAGGAGAAAGGAGGATGGCAAAGTCTTGACTAAGTCGTAAGGATCGCGTTGATGTGTTCGCTTCTTGATTTTGAGTTGTGGATGATGGACTTGCTTCAAAACCCTAAGGAACTTCTTAGAGATTTATGGAAGCTCTGCTTGTGCGTGAATTTGCTGGAAAATGAGGAAAAAGAAGACTAAGTCTTCTATTTCTAGTAAGGTTAAAAAGTCAACCACATGTGCGCTTCACCGGCCCTTCTTCCGACGCACATATCTCTTTATCCGGATGTCATATGAATGAACGATCAAGAGAATTAGAAATTACATTCCAAGACCTTTAATTTGGTATATAATATGTCCCAAAACACCTCAAATAACAGACAAAATTAGTTGCACAAAAAACTTCATTACAAGGCAAATCCTTAGTCGATTTTTTTCAAACTTTACATTTTATTTTCAAACATCATATATAGTCATATGATGACATTAAACTCATTTAAATCATGCTTTGTAAGTTATTTACACAATTTATGACATCACAGAAGTATAGGGTGTAACATTTATTGTAGAAATTCCTTTGAGAGGGTGTTACTTACGAAACAAATCTAATTTACTACTTACAACATTAAGAAGATATAAATTAAAAAAAACATTCAGAATAATTTAGTAGCGGAAATAGGCGATAAGGTCCAAAGTGCAATAGTTTTATTTTTTGAAAATACTCTTCATATTTATTTTTTTTAAAAATACATTGTCAAAATATCAACATAAGATGATATAACCCTTCTTAAATAATCAACATCACTGCAAGTTTGTACATATTTAGCATATTACAAGACTTGAGATATTAACACACCCTAAAACAACAAAATAAGTTACCAAATTCAAGTTACAAGATTTTAGTCTTAAGATCCAACAAGCCTCCAAATAACATACATAAGTGTGACATATATATCATGTACATATCACAAAACTATACAAAACCATGGTGCATATACAAATGTGATCTCCATAAGTGCTCCCAAAAAGACTACTTCATAAGGTTGTCTTCAAATTTTTATCTCGTACATTACCTACGATAGAAAACAACTATCGCTAAGCATAAAGCTTAGTGGCGTATAAACTTTGCGCTTGGAGCCATTAACTTCTCCAATTCCTATTTTCAGTCATAGGTAGCTCAAATAAAACATAATTTAAAACAAGTGAACAAATATATCAAAAGTATCAAATATCAACCCTTGAAGTGTTTCCAAATATCAATAACAATGTTCAAGATTCAAGAGTTGAGAAAGCATATACTATCAATCCAAGAGAGTGTGTCAAATATCCATTTTTTGCCCAATATGTACGTCATGCCATCACACTAAGCAAAATTAAATATCAAGATGGACCGAAGCCCCAAATCAAGTAGGGTCAAAACCCAATAATCAAGAGAATCAAGAACCATATTAAAAATGGCTTCCTAGTTCATACTTAACACGGACAAGTTCCATAATTTAAGATGCACTACCAATCCAAAGTCAAGATGGCAAAAGATACAAATCAGGAGGCATTCCAAGATGAGTGACAAAGTCACTGCCACAAAAAGGACAAACTCCCAACAAGAATGCAAAATGATCAAACAATCCGTACGAGTGGGCGATTTAGCAAATATCTTGCAATACTTGATATAATACGAATACAATGCTATCAATTGAAGACAAGAAAAATGAAATATCAGGTTATTTCAAAATATTCCAACAAGTAAAAGGAGTACAAAGTTTATACACAAACCTTGGTGTTTTACCACAAAACAGTTCAATCACAACTTGAGGACGTTAGAATCGTCTACGCCATAGACAATCCAAATCCGTCCACTTTCTCTAATACTTTCCCTTAGATTATACAAGGGTGTATATACCTTAAATACATAATCAAATATCTATACAAGTTCAATGACTTAACATGTCAAACTAAATATGATATTGGTAAAAATTATCCAAAATATTTGAAACAGAAATTCTGGACAGTATCATTGTCTCGTGTTGTGACTCGGATTTGAAGATGAAAAAGGGAAAAACTAGACGGTTTGGTCTTCTTTACAGTTGTAGATATGTGTCTTAGAGTTTCATAACATCTTGAATCACCCCCATATCAATTTTGTCCAAAACGTTATGCTAAAATTACTAACAGTAGTACAGGGAGGGTTTGTAAAATAGAAAATCTGGGCAGCACCTGCCTTGTACTTCATCACTATTTTCAGGTAAATAAAAGACAAAACAAGTTTTGGTTCCTTCATAAGAGTTATATATCTATGAAATAGCTTTCCAGAAAGTCTTAGATCACTTAAAACGGAGCTATATATAAAATGATATGAAGAAAACACTAATAGTTGTCTCTAGTATAAAAACGGGTTTAGTAACTTACCACAAAAGAAATGAGCAACTTGAGCTTCACCCAGAACGAATTTTTCTGGTTGGTTTAGTGAAAATTTATGATGTTTTCATCAAGTTTTTCAGGTGATAAGAAGGAGAGAGAGATGGGATTTTCCTTGGCATTAAGGACTGAAAATAAGATGAGGTTATGAAAAAGCATGTCACAAAAGTAATATAAAAACTTTGGATAAATATAAAAAATGTGGCTGTCCAACCTACTAAATATCTTTAGATAAATACAAAAGGGTGGCAGCGCAAAACCTTAATTATATAATGTATTTAATAATAATTCATCAAAATAATATTAAATATTATACATAGCAACATCATGGAACTTCTTTGTCAATATTAACACAACCTAAAGTAAGGAATTTTCATGTATTGTCAATTTCACATTTAGAAAGTGTGAAGTAAAATATCTCCTCATAAAAAAGATGCTCAATCGAGAATGCAAATATTAATAAAAATTTGGGGTGTTACAACTCTCTCCCCTTAAACCAATTTTGTCCTGAAATTTACCTTGTACTAGTCCCGAAACAAATGTAGATATTGTACTCGCATATCCTCTTCTTGCTCCCAAGTAGCTTCTTTGCCAGAATGATTTTTCCAAAGAACTTTCACTAAGGGGATGCTCTTGTTTCTAAGCTCATTTAACTCACGTACTATGATTTGGATTGGTTTTTCTCCATATGTCAAATCAAGATTGACCTCAATAGATTCAATAGGAAGAACATGAGATGGATATGAGTGGTATCTTCTAAGCATAGAAATATGAAAGACGTTGTGGATCTTGTCTAACTTGGTGTAAGACCTAGTTTATAAGAAACTGGGCCAACTCTCTCAAGCACATCATAAGGTCTAATAAATCGAGGACTAAGTTTACCTTTTTGGCCAAATCTCATAATCTTCTTCCATGGAGAAATTTTTAAAAATACCTTATCACCCGCTTTATACCCAATTTCACCCCTCTTAAGATTAGCATAAATCTTTTGTCTGTCTGAGATAAATTTTAAGCGATCCTTGATGATTTTTACCTTATCTTTAGTTTGTTGAACAATCTCAGGACCCACCAATTTTCTTTCACCAACCTCGTTCCAACAAAGAGGCGTTCCGCATTTTCTCCTATACAAAGCTTCATAAGGAGGCATGCCTATACTTGATTGGTAGCTATTATTGTAAGCAAATTCTATCAGGGTTAAGTGTTTGTCCCAACTACCCTCAAACTCAATAATGCAGGCTCGAAACATATCCTCCATGATTTGTATGACTCTCTCAGACTGCCCGTCTATTTGTGGATGGAAAGCAGTACTAAAATTCAACCTGTAACCCAAAGCTACTTGCAAGCTAGACCAAAATCTAGATGTAAACCTTGGATCTCTATCAGATACAATACAAACAAGGATTCCATGCAGCCTCACAATCTCATTAATATATAATTCTGCCAAACGTTCCAATGAGTAGTCCATTCTGATTGCCAAGAAATGAGCACTCTTAGTTAGTCTATCTACAATGACCCAAATTGCATCATGATTCTTTTGAGTGCGTGGAAGTCCAAAAATAAAGTCCATCGTTATCCTTTTCCATTTCCACTCAGGTATTGATAAGGGTTGCAGTAGACCAGCTAGGACTTGATGTTCAACTTTTATTTGTTGATATACCAAGCACTTAGAAATGAACTCTGCAATGTCTTTCTTCATACCATTCCACCAGTAGTGCTCCTTGATGGTCCGGTACATTTTAGTACCTCCTGGATGCATTGCATAAGGTAAACTATGTGCTTCAATCAAGATATGCTTCCTCAATTCAACATCATTAGAAATACACAACCTATTTTTATAAAATAAGGTATCATCTTTCTTCAATATAAAATATGATTCTCTTCTATTTTAGACTTCTTCAATCCGTTTTACAAGCTTCTCATCTAACTTCTACGCTTCTTGGACCTGCTCAAGTAAGACTGGCTTGACTTGCAAATTGGCAATGATAGAACCATTAGAATTAAATGAAAGACAAGCATTCATGGCTCTTAATTCAAGAAGCAAAGGCAAAGGAGTTAGAATTAAACTTGCAAGGGAATTGCGACTCAATGCATCTGCAACCACATTGGCTTTACCAGGATAATAATCAATCATGCAATCATAAACTTTGATGAGTTCAAGCCATCTACGTTGTCTCAAGTTTAACTCTTTTTGTGTACCCAAGTACTTCAACCTCTTGTGATTAGTAAATATGTGACACTTCTCCCCGTACAAGTAATGCCTCCAAAATTTTAAGGCAAAAACAATGGCAGCAAGTTCAAGATCGTGAGTGGGATAATTCAACTCATGCGATTTCAACTTTCGAGAGGAATAAGCAATTACTTTCCCTTCTTGCATCAAAACACAACCCAAGCCACGGTGAGATGCATCACTGTATATCACATAATCTTTTCCTTCAGCTGGCAGAGAAAGTATTGGAGCTTGTGTCAGTAAGGATTTGAGCTTTTCAAATCTCTCTTGACACTTGTCATCCCACACAAACTTGGAGTCTTTACCCAAAAGTTTGGTCAAAGGAGAAGCTACAATAAATAAGCCCTTCACGAACCTCCTATGGTATCCTACTAAACCCAAGAAACTTCTTATCTTGGAGTTTTAGGGGGTTTCCAATTAACAATAGCTTGAATCTTACTAGGATCAATCTTCATACCTTCAACTGATACAATATGCCCCAAAAACACCACTTCACTCAGCCAAAATTCACATTTGGAAAGCTTTGCATAGAGTTGCCTCCCTTTCAGAATTTGCATGACAATCTGGAGATGCTTATCATGATCTTCTCTATTCTTGGAATAGACTAAAATGCCATGAATAAACACCACCACAAATTGATCAAGATAAGGCTTGAATACATGGTTCATTAGATCCATAAATGCAGCAGGAGCATTTGTCAAACCAAATGGTATTACCAAAAATTCATAATGGCCATACCTGGTCCTAAAAGCAGTTTTAGGAGCATCTTGCTCCCTTACACACAACTGATAATATCCAGACCTCATGTCAATTTTTGAGAACAAGCTGGCACCCTTCAGTTGGTCAAACAAGTCATCGATTCTAGGTAGTGGGTATTTGTTCTTGATTGTTACCTTGTTTAACTAACGGTAATCAATGCGAAGCCTAAGAGTGTCATTTTTCTTTTTCACAAATAAAACAGGAGCTCCCCAAGGCAAAATACTTGGAAGGATAAAACCTTTCTCAAGAAGTTCTTGCAATTGAGCCTTCAACTCTTTTAATTCAGGTGGAGCCATTCTATAAGGAGTGATAGAAATAAGAGTAGTTCCAGGGACAAGCTCTACAGGAAATTTAATCCCCCTTTCTGGAGGCAACCCACGAAGATTATCAGGAAATACATCAGGAAAGTCACACACGATGGGTATGTCCTTAAGACTTGGACTCCCCAATCGTGTATCGACTATATGAGCAAGATATGTATCACAACCTTGACAAATCATCTTCCTTGCCAAGACCGCAGAAATAATATTAGATGTCAATGATATTTTTCCTTGAACTACTATGTGTGAATATGCAGGATTTTCAAAAGTCACTTGCTTTAACCTACAATCAACCAATGCATGGTACCTATGGATCCAATCCATACCAACAATAACATCATAGTCTTGGAAGGGCATTTCAAGCAAGTCTGCAAGGAAGGCCAGATTTTGAATCATGAATGGACAATCTAGGTAAATCCTGTTAACAACAGCCTGATGACCTAATGGACTCGTGACTAGCACATCAAAGTCAAGTCTCACAGATTTAACAGTATCAGAAAATGCAAGTGATGAGCAAACATAAGAGTGCGAAGATCCAGGATCAAATAATGTAACAACAGATATGCCAAATAAGTGAAATTTACTAACAACCACGTCCGAGCCATCTTGGTCATTCCTCTATCTCATAGAATAGACTCGTACAGTAGATCTCGACCTACTAGCCTGATTAGCTCCACCCGAACCCACTGCTTGCACATTTCTAGCTCTTGCACCACTATTAGCTTGAGAATGAGTAGTGACAGGCTTTTGAACTGAGCCCTCTGTATATGTATAAGAAAAAGGATTAGGATTAGGACAATCCTTCACTTTATGATCTAGACTTTCATAATTAAAACAAGCACCAAAAGCTCTTCTGCAGGCGCCATAGTGATTCTTCCTGCACTGTGCACAAGAAGGTGTATAAGTTTTGCCTTAGACATAACTTGGATTACTAGCAGTAGAGAAATTTGTCTTATTCTTCTTATGATATGATGACTTCTGTGCACTTACAGTCTTGGAATAGTCAAACTTTTCCTTTTTGGATGGACCGCCATAATTTGAATTACCCTTCCTAAACTTGTTTTCTCTCATACTAGCTTCTTCCTTATCAATTCTTTCCCAAGTAAGAGTAGTAGAAATTAGCTTGGAAAAACCCTCAAGTTGCAAGATTGCCATAGACTTTCGAATGTAACCATTCAAACCTTCTTCAAATCTTTTGCACTTGCCTCTTTCACCATCAATAATACCTCCAGCATAGCGAGAAAGCCTGAGAAAGTTTTGTTGATACTCTGCAATAGACATACTTCCTTGTCTTAAATTTAGAAACTCTTTTTTCTTAGCATCACAATAGACAGGGGGACATAATTCGCATGAAATGCTTTCACAAAGTCATCCCAGGTCAGCACCAGAGGTTTTGCTTTTGCATTTGGCACATTTACCCACCAATCATAGGCATCTTTTTGTAAAAGAGAGATAACATACTTTAATTTGGCAGCATTAGTACACTCTAGTTGTTCAAAGACCCTCTCCATGCGGTCGAGCAATTGTTCAGCTATCGTGGGATCATTAGTTCCTTCAAATTCAACTCCACTCATTTTCCTCATCTTCTCAAAATTCATTTCACTAGGATCTGACATTGTCCCAGCCAACTGATGAAAGAACTCAACCATCTGCTGAAATGGAGGAGTCATAATAGGAGTACTATGACCCATTGCTCTTGAATTATTGCCCACTTCATTTTTACTAACACGATGATGATTTAGGTTAGGAAAGGGTACCTTATCTCCTTCTTGGAGGTGAGGTGGAGCATTATAATGGGCCTGTCTTTCATCAACAGATCCAATAGCTCTATTCGAAGAAGAGGCCATATTAAAATTCCTATAAAAGATAACATCACACTGCATTTGGGACATGTACATGATGCATATGCACAAGGAATACATCAAATTACATTAAACAAGTATGCAAAAATTTATAATCTCCAAGTCATTTTCAAGAAAGAAAATAACAGAAAATATTAGGTACGATCACAACAAAAATCCTAGAATCACAAACCTAGGCTCTGATACCAAAGCTTGTAGTAACCCCTTTGAGAGGGTGCTACTTACGAAATAAATCTAATTTACTACTTACAACATTAAGAAGATATTAATTAAAAAAATATTCAGAATAATTTAGTAGCAGAAATAGGCCCCATGCGATGAGGTCCAAAGTGCAATATTTTTATTTTTTGAAAATACTCTTCATAATTTTATTTTATTTTAAAAATAAAATATAATGTCAAAATATCAACATGAGGTGATATAACCCTACTTAAATAATCAACATCACTGCAAGTTTATATTGTACATAAATTTTAAACTATCGGGTATAAAAAAATTAGTTTTCTCCTTTGTACATATTTATAAGACAAAGTGTAAATTCAGCATATTACAACACTTGAGTTATTAACACACCCTAAAACAGCAAAATAAGTTACCAAATTCAAGTTATAAGATTTTGGTCTTAAGATCCAACAAGCCTCCAAATAACATACATAAGTGTGACATATATATCATGTACATATCACAAAACTATACAAAATCATGGTGCATATGCAAATGTGATCTCCATAAGTGCTCCCAAAAAGACTACTTTATAAGGTTGTCTTCAAATTTTCATCTCGTATATTACCTACGATAGAAAACAAATATCGCTAAGCATAAAGCTTAGTGGCGTATAAACTTTGCGTTTGGAGCCATTAACTTCTCCAATTCTTATTTTCAGTCATAGGTAGCTCAAATGAAATATAATTTAAAACAAGTGAACAAATATATCAAAAGTATCAAATATCAACCCTTGAAGTATTTCCAAATATTAATAACAATGTTCAAGATTCAAGAGTTGAGATAGCATATACTATCAATCCAAGAGAGTTTGTCAAATATCTATTTTTCGCCCAATATGTACGTCATTCCATCACACTAAGAAAAATTAGATATCAATATGGAACGAAGCCCCAAATCAAGTAGGGTCAAAACCCAATAGTCAAGAGAATCAAGAACTATATTAAAAATGGCTTGCTAGTTCATACTTAACACGAACAAGTTCCATAATTTAAGACGAACTACAAATCTAAAGTCAAGATGGCAAAATATCCAAATCAAGAGGCATGCCAAGATGAGTGACAAAGTCACTGCCACAAGAAGGACAAAGTCCCAACAAGAATGATCAAACAATCCGTATGAGTGGGCGATTTAGCAAATATCTTGCAATACTTGATATAACACGAATACAGTGCTATTAATTGAAGACAAGAAAAATAAAATATCAGGTTATTTCAAAATATTTCATCAAGTAAAAAGAGTACAAAGTTTATACACAAACCTTGGTGTTTTACCACAAAACAGTTCAACCACAACTTGAGGACGTTTGAATCGTCTATGCCATAAACAAACCAAATCCGTCCACTTTCTCAAATACTTCCCCTTAGATTTTAAAAGGGTATATATACCTTAAATACATAATCAAATATCTATATAAGTTTAGTGACTTAACATGTCAAACTAAACATGATATTGGTGAAAATTACCCAAAATGTTTGAAACAGAAATTCTAGATAGTATTACTGTCTCGTGATGTGACGCGGATTTGAAGATGAAAAGAAACAAACTAGACTGTTTGGTCTTCTTTATAGTTGTAGATATGTGTCTTAACGTTTCATAACATCTTGAATCGCCCCCATATCAATTTTGTACAAAACGCTATGCTAAAATTACTAACAGTAGTACATGGAGGGTTTGTAAAACAGAAAATCTAGGCAGCACCTGCCCTGTACTTCATCACCTATTTTCGGGTAAATAAAAGACAAACCAAGTTTTGGTTCATTAATAAGAGTTATAGATTATGAAATAGCTTTCCATAAAGTCTTGGATCACTTAAAACAGAGCTCTATATAAAACGATTTGAAGAAAACACTAATAGCTGTCTAGTGTAAAAACGGATTTAGTAACTTACCACAAAAGAGAGGAGCAACTTGAGCTTCACCAAGAACGAGTTTTGCTGGTTGGTTTAGTGAAAATGTATGATGTTTTCATGAAGTTTTTCAGGTGATAAGAAGGAGAGAGAGAGATGGGATTTTCTTGGGCATTAAGGACTGAAAATAAGACAAGGTTATGAAAAAGCATGTCACAAAAGATATATAAAAACTTTGGATAAATATGAAAAATGTTGCTGCCCAATCTACTAAATATCTTTAGATAAATACAAAAGGGTGGCAGCGCAAAACCTTAATTATATAATGTATTTAATATCAATTCATCAAAATAATATTAAGTGTTACACATAGCAAAACCATAAAACTTCTTTGTCAATATTAACACAACCTAAAGTAAGAAATTTTCATGTATTATCAATTTCACGATTAGCGAAGTAAAATATCTCCTCATTATAAAGATGCTCAATCGAGAATGCAAATATTAGTAAACATTTAGGGTGTTACATTTATACTTGACTTGTAATCAAATGAAGGACAATAGTTAAAAGAAGGGGAAAAAATTGCAATTTTTTTTTATTGTTAATAAAAAATATCTTGGATCTATCTCAACAGAGCAAGCTAATACAAGATTAACGACAATTGTTCAAAATTATATAAAGAAACAACAACATATACCTTCCAATATGAGATTATAATACCTCGAGCACAGGTATGACAAATATTTGGAGCATTAATAAGATAACATTCAACAAAATTGAATTGATCATAGCATTGATTGTTTACCCGTAAAATGATACAATTGGATTTGTAACGTGATTTATCGACACGTGAATTAATTTGACCCAATAATATGAAAATGATAAGAACAAAAATAAAATTATTAAAATAACTTGAACAAAATACAAGTAAAATAACTTGAACAAAATACAAGTTTGGCTGTGGATCTAACTTTCTCGGAAGCAATGATAAGAACAGAGTTAAGAGTAAAAGAAAGAGAATAACTTATAAAGTAAGAGCAACTTTTAGCCTTTGAGTATAGATGATTTTTCGTCTCCAACTATGGATACAAATTCTCCTATTTATAGCTCTATTAAGGGAGACAAGATCCCCAAATCAAGCTCTTCTTGAATGAGAATAAAATCTCTATTGATAATTGCATAACAGTCGAACATTAATACAGAGAATCTTTGTAACGGCTGCTCATTGGATGCTGCCTTTTTTAACCGATGTCACCCTTTCAAATCTTCGTTCTCGGTTCCAATACCTTCGAAATTTATTCAGCACCAGTCACTTGTTTGTATTCGGTGCCAACTCTTTGCTGGCTCATATTTCACATGTCTTCAGTTACACGTGTCATCTCGTCATTCATCCAACTGTCGCTAAACAATTTTAACTCATACATTGATCTTGTCATTATTTCTCACCTATAGGAACTCTCAAATTCCTTAGTATTGGATGAATTTTCTGTGGGTTTTGGAGGTATATATGCATAAATGATGTATAAAATGTTTATAAGATCAAATCATCTAATAGCAATAAATGTGTTAATTGCCAAGTGGAACTGTAGTAATATTGTGTTAATTCCCAAGTAGAACTGTAGTAATATTGTGATTCTTGTTGGATGGAAGGAACTATTATCCATTTTTAATGGAACTAATTGTTTCGTTCCGAAGTAATAACAGTGATTCTTTTTGATGGATGGATTAATAAACATAAGGTTGTTTAATTTAATAATATAATCAAATTTCTCTATAAAGTCATCTTTTATGATAGTACTTCACTATAATAATGAAATTGTTGCTGCACATAATTTTTGAAGTTCTATTTATAATATATGTTACTATAACAATATTTTAATATAATAATAAAAAAATAACGGAATAAAGTTATTAAAGTTTTGACTGTATAATGAATGGATCACCGTATCTAAGTTTTCGGTGGTTTGAATCCCATAGAACCCTGAAAAGAGAACGCATAACTTTTTGGTGATTTGAATCCAGTAAAGATGGGTTATTCGTTAATACTGCTAGAACTAAGTTTTACCATCTCTGTGCATTCATTCCTAATTTATATATGTATCTAAGTGCTATAGCAATGCCACCATCCAAATTAGTTGAGATCAATTGTATAAATTCTCACTATGTATTTCGCTTCATATGCATTACTTTATATTTTTATTACTCAACGGTTATACTTCTTTTTCTATACAGTGACAACCTAGTATACTTTTTTTGACAACCTAGTATACTTTTTCTATACAGTGACAACCTAGTCTAATTCTCCCTACCAAAAGTGCCGTAGCTTCTTCTAACATAGCTCCTGAAAAGTGGGCATTCCAAGCATCAATCTCATTCTTGCTTTTGGATTATAGAAACTTGCGTATTCTATTGAGATTAAAATTTCTAAACAAACTATAAAGACTCCAACCAATCTCTATAGGTCTTTTGTTTCCATTATGGTCCTTTTTTGGGGCCAAAATCGTATGAATTCTAATAAACTATAATAGCCTGTTTGGCCACGTTTTATGTTGGGCCAAAAGTGCTTTTTTGGCCCAAAATACTTTTGGCCAAAAATTGAGGTGTTTAACCAAGTTTTTGGAAGGAAAAAAAGTGTTTTTGAGGAGAAGTAGAAACAGTTTTTGAGAAGCAGAAAAAAATAGCTTCTTTCCGAAAGCACTTTTCTGAGAAGCGCTTTTGAGAAAAATACACTTAGAAGCAGTTTTCAAAAGCTTGGCCAAACACTAATTACTGATCAGAAGTATTTTTCAAATTAATTAGCCAAATACAAATTGTTTCTCACCAAAAACACTTTTTTTAAAAGTACTTTTGAGAAAAACACTTTTCGAAATAAGCTGATTTTAGAAGCTTGGCCAAACAGGCCGTAAGTCTCTCT